CCCCCCAAAAAAAAAAAAAGGTGCAACAACTACCTGACGGTCTTACACATCGGCAACGACCACCAGCACCTCCACGGCAGCAGCTGCAGCGTCAGAACAGCGGGGCTCTCAATTCCCCTCTTTCTGCCGTTGGTCCCCTTTGCTCTGAGAGAGCTTAGCATGTCCGGCGGGTGGACTTCCCTCGGGGGGGTGGAGCTCGGCACCATCCGGAGAGGCTGTCGTCTCAAGAAGCTCGTAGTGACGGGCATGCGGTACAGTGTCCGGACGTCTGTTGGGTTTCTTGTGGTCATGTTTTTTCTGATTGTGGTGTGTCCTTTTTTTGCAGGTCCGATTAGTTTTGGTGTGTGGCGGTGGTTTGGAACAGCAGTCATGCCGGCGTCAAATGCACGCACCCGGTTGTTGGTTCGGCTGATAAAGCCCCAGCAGTAGTAGGCACCTCTCGTACATACGCACAAGGCAGAGGTGTTTTATGTCCGGTGAGTATGATGTATGGCGGTGGTTCTGAACAGCAGCATGCACGCGTGGGGCTGTGTGTTTCCGTTTGATGAAGCCTCACCGGCAGTGGACACCTCTCGCACCCAAGTACAAGACGCTGTGCTGATATGTTGAACCAAACCAGTAGAGTGATTTTTATGGCGGTGCATGTGGGTACATGCCGAATGATACCACAGCAGTAGCACTTCGTTGTCCACTCTATGACGCTACCGCCGATGATTATGCCGTTGATAACGCTGTTGTTGCTTCTTCTGTTGTTGCTTTCGCTTCTTTGTCCCGCGGTATTTCGATCATCAACCAGGCTCTGTTCGTTCTCTTATCGAGAGCTTCTATTGTTCGAGCACCTAGAAGGTGTGTTGTGTGCGTGAGAATTGGTGGGGCGTCGAGGAAGAGTGACAGAGAGGCCTCGAAATGAAGGAAACCGTAGATGAGAGACAAGGATAAGGAGGAAGCTAAAGGTATGGGGCGGCAGAGGAGGGGCGAGGGAGCGAAAGCGATGGTTTGAGAATACAACTTATATTTTCTGAATATCGCTCCTCCCGCTAGCACTAGTGTTGGGGTGACCCTGAATCCCTCATGTAGGGTGTAGCCACCCAAGAGACCACTGCAGGCTGTGGTTGTCGAAGGGCTTAACTTCACCTGCTTACCATCCTCTTCGACTCCGATCCGACCTTTGCCTGACCCATCCCCTTTTTGTCACGGGTCGTCCCGTTTTCCCGCGAACGAACTTGGGAAGAGCTCGACATCTCGGACTCACAGATGGACATCCCGCTTCCCCGGTTGCGGTTTTCCGAGCCCGCTAGCGGAAAACCCGACCTTGACGGCATTCCGCAGGCGGAACCGGTTGCGTTGTCGCCCCCCAGACGCCCCTCCATAATATTTCCCAGAGCCCGTTCCGGTAGGGTAGTCGAGCAGGCTTCGGGCATAAGCACACCCTTCGCTCCCTCTACTGCTTCCCGGGTCGGGGGGGATAGGAGGAGGTCTCGCGTTTCTTCCGGTGGTGAGTTCGGTGACCGTGCATTTGATTCGCCGAGGTTTGCGGCGACTCTCAAGAGGCTCGTGGCGGTGAAGACGAGGCTATGGAACCGGTGGGACCTGTCGACGTTCGCCGCGCTAACGTCGCTCGAGGCCTCCTTCGCGGGGAGGGCCATGCTCAAGCAGCTCCACCGCAAGGTGGGGGGGGAGGGGCAGGGGTGATCGAAATATTTGTTTATCGTCTTTCGGTGTTTGCTACAATTGGCAGCGCGTCGTCCCAGTAGAGACGGAGTCCGCGTGTTTCTTGCGTACATTGGGATCCGTGTCAATGCTTGAGAGTTCTGTAATATTGACTGCAGTTATTTGCACGAGCGCTTGTTACTATGGGGAAAATTCCGTTCTCGCCTCTCTCTCACGGAGTTGGGGGTTATGGAGGGCAGGCAACAGCGCGGGCGTTGCGTTGTGTATCATCGAAAATTCGAGTTTCAGTACCCTGTGGAATCTAATCCTCGTTGTAACCCGTTTCGAAAGGTAGTTGGCGAAATATTCATGAACGGCCTGCCCCCCACGTACCCACGCCTTTTAATTCCGTTACCCTTATTGCAGGCGGAGATGGGAAGCAGACTGGCGGAGCTGTGTGTTTGCGATCTCGCACTTCGCAACCTCGTTCGTCCAACGGAGCTAACGGAGCTCGCAGAGGTGCGGCATTGTTTCCCTGCTGTCGAAGAAGGAGGCTTGGTTATTTTGTTCCCTTTGTTCTCATGCCCGTGGCTTTATCTTGTCTTGTTGTTGTGACAAGCCTACTGCTGCTAACCTGTTGTGTTGGCGACCAGTCCCATATCTACAAACATAGCAACAAATGATGATCATGCGGATGTGCCATCGTGTTTTGCAAAACGATTTTGCGAGATGGTGGATAGCAGCCCTTACCTTCTAGCCGGTCCACACTTCCGCTACCACACCGCTTTTGTTGTGCATCGCAGCCCGCCTGTATGGGTATGTAGCAGACCCTTCCGTGTGTCAGTACGTACCTTGCTTGTCGTTCTCTACCCGTATAACTTATCGTGCGTGTTGTTGCTATTAGGCTGCATATCAATACATACCGCTGTTCTCTACTTGCGTGCTTTTTGCCATCAGGCCGTCGGCGGAGCCTCGACGTTTCGACTGCGGCGGGTCGACGTTGTCAAGGAAGTCCCCAACTTCGCCTATCTACGCGCCATCTTCGGGCGATTGCAAAAGTGAGCGGGGTTTTGGGGCGGGATGGTGGCGCGTGCTTGTCTTGTTGCACTTCGCCCCAGTACGAGTGTCGAACCAACCACCGAGCTTGTTTGCTTGCCTCACACGCTTGTGCCAGCTCGGTTTGGCCTCTTGCTTGTTCCAGAGTGAGCGGGGGTAGCGGTAGGGGGGGGGGGGGGGGG